CCAGATATCCCCACCTCGTGAACCAAGTTCCTATGTCGAGGCAGGTCCCCGACATAAATGGCGCCAAACAACGTGGGGCACGAAGGATGGGGTAAGTAATGACTCTCGATCTGGGCCGGACACTGTTCGTGTGCACTGCGGGCACTCTAGTCAAAGAATAAGGCTGGAAAGGAACAGTAAGGAATTGAAGGAGATGGGTCAGATAGAGCCCAGTCTCCATTCTGTATATCTTAAAATTCTTAAGAAATCTCTGCAAGAAATAAAAATGTGTGCTGATGAAGGAAACTTGTCTAATTTTGTTAAGTTTATCCAGCTGATTAGCCCCTGGTTACCTGAGAATGGAACACTAGAGGAATCAGATTGGAAAAGAGTCGGGAGAGACATGAAACTTTGGCTCAGGGAACACTCCCATTTTTGTTATTAAGAAGAAATCTGGTAAATGGCGATTGTTGCAAGATCTTAGGAAAGTTAATATCACTATGGAAACTATGGGTGCGCTCCAGCCAGGGCTCCCCTGTCCTGTCTCTCTACCCAAAAATCATATGATTCTGCTCCCTACTTCTCTATAGCAATTTTCATTTTCTTGCCTTAATTGTATTCTGTCCAGTTGTATTACTTAGCTGCAAATTGTATTATTGTAATTACGCTTTTTGTCATGTTAGGTTATTCACTGTATAAGTAGATTTGTGTTATCTTATAGTAATTCTGAACTTGATTAGACCTTAATACAACGGCATTTTGGGAGGTTGTGGAATAATGTTCGCTTGTCTGTGGATATTCAACAGCTACATGCTCAATTCTCTGATATACGTAATTCTTAAGTTGAGTACTGAGTGGCTACTAATTTGCTACCTCTGCTAGAGATTAAGTTCCTCTGTGAACTTATTTGAACCTCAGCATAATGATCCTTCTTGATCATCTTAGAGCAGGTGAGGGTCTGGCAACGTCTTGCATGTGGGGTCTCCCTGCTGGTCTCCTCTCTCCCTGCCTTCTTCGGATGGCAGTTGTTTATGCTGGACGTGTGGCCAATGATGGGTAAGGACCAAGTGGAAACTCGGTCAACCTAAGACAGAGCTATTGACATGATGCAATGAGTCTCAAGGACGGGTAAGGCTGAGGATTGGCACTGACAACCTAAGACAGGCAACGTTCCTTAAACAAAATAATAAAAAA